GAGGCAGAAAGCACAGCGCGAGGCCAACACTGGGTCTAAGCCGGGTGATGTGCACATAGGACTGTTGTATTATTTATTCTTCTGAATGTTTAGAATATTACGTAATAGAAATAGTGAATGGGTCCACAGATTTGAGATCAAACGTAGTCATTTATATTTTGAGTGTTTTTTTTTAAATGTACACAGCGGTTTGGCTGCCTATAAAAGAATGTTAAACATTTTAACTCAGGTACTAAGGAGTCTAGATGCGCACCGCAGTCTAGCTCTTCCTCACACTCTGAGGACATCAGAGGAAGCTTTATTTGCTGCGGGTTTTGTGACCAAGCTATTTCAAGGACTGCAGCTGAAGCATGGAGGTGGGACTATTTCAGTCTTCTGCTGCTTCTCAGGAGGTGCCATATGTTGGCACAGCGATCGGCCAGAAAACATCCGCTACGAAAGTGCACCAGGCCTCTGGGGAGTCGGCTGCATAACTGATCTTGACAATAAACTCAGAGACCAGGGGTGACATCAAGAACAGGGAGGGGCATCTCCCCGGTCTGGGGTCACCTCCACGCTTCACCCCAGTGGACCTAAAGATTATCGGCCCAACGAAGTGGTTGGAGCAACCAACCAGCCTGGGCTTTCATTCACCCCTCAGAACAGCAGGGCACCCGGGGTGTTCGCTGCATTCCCAGGGCCCGCCCCAAGCAGCTCCCGGCTCAGCGGCAGGTCTGCAAACCGAGATAGATGCTGGCCTTAGAGGCCGTTTCTCTCCATTCCTGACATCCATGAAGCATGTATCCATGAAGCACTGTGCCAGGCTCCGTGCTGGGGATGAGGGAGGAAAAGAGAACGAAGACATTCTCAGCAGGTGCAAGTGGGCAGGTGCCTGGCACCGCAGTTAGTCTTATGTATTTATGTAAGCCCGCGCTTCCGACTGCTTTTCCACATCGGACACAGAAAACTCTAGAAAAGTTCTTGGATTCTTTGCACAACATTACAAAGGTCCGTCTTAGTTATGGAACTGCACGTGCTAAATATACATCCATTGGCCTTAAGGATCAGAACGTCTTTGTGATTTGAGGTAAAGTAAGAGAAGGAAAGTAAATATACACAAGGGTAAGTAGACGTCAGAGAGCGGGACCAGCCCAGGACTCCTTTCCTTCCGACGGGTGAGGTTATCAGGAGCTCTGCTGCTCTAGGATAGTGTCAGCCACTCTTTAGCAGGAAAGGACCCTGAAGATCCACAGAGAAAATGAGAAAAGTTAGAACCTGTCCTAGCGATCCTTGATCTGCAGAGTATCCAGATCATCAATCGGCAGGTAGGGCTTTAAGACAACTCCATATCCAGCCCCCTGTCAATGTGAGCCTGGGAGTAAAACCCAAAATGACTTGTACCCTCCTGAACTGTGCTGGAAGCCAAGGCCAGCTGGTGGGCAGGCCCCGTGGCCTGGCATTTGTAAGCAGGGGAAGCCACTTAAATAAGACCAAGCCACCTCCTCCGAACCTTGGGAATTTGGGGTGGTAGAGCTAGTAAAAATCTGATGCCGAATTTCCTGTTACTATGACTATGGAGCTGGCACAATCTGTGGGAACATAGAAGAATCGTGGCATTTGTGCCTCAGACTAGGGCAGTGGGCCACGCAGGATGCGCAAACATATTCCTAGAACATCTGCAAAACAAACCAGGAGCAAACTGGCACGATGGACAACTATAGAGCAATGAGACTGAGGCCTCTCGGCTATGTGCCACCTCGTGGGCGAATCTCACAAACAGCAGGCTGAGCAAAAGCAGCCGGACACAGAGCACGCGCCTGCAGCCCGGGGACAGGAGCATCTCCTCGGCGATGGCTGGGGAGGGGGACAGGAGCTGGAAGGGAGGCGCCTGAGGGGTGCCAGGGCTGGGTGGAGCTGGGGAACGGTTCATTTCTCCACCTGGGTGCTGCTGCATGAAAGGGTGACTTCGGGGGGCCACACGCTTCTCATCTGTGCACTTTCACGCATGAATGCTGTACTTGGGTAAAAACTGGCATAAAACACACACAGTACACAAAACGGAAAGGAAGGGCGGGAGAGGAGGCGGGAGGTGGGGAGGGAGGAGCCAGAGAAAGACGATGAGCCCCCACATCTCTAAATGAGCGAGATTTCCAGTTAGTCTTTTCAATATAAATGTTACAGAACATACAATGTGGGTGAGCTCGACGCAGAGCGGCATTTCCTAGGGGAAGGAATCTTGTAATGGGGCAAGTGACAGCCAACTCCCCTTTTCTGGGCCCTGTTCCCTATTTATAAAACGAAGGAGTTCACTGAATGGTTTCTAAAGTATCTTTTGGCTCCAAATGCCTATGAATTCCAGCTTTCTTTTCTGACAAGAACTGGCTGACAATTTCAGCTGCTTTTTAACCCCGCACCTGGCTTCCATGCAGCATGATCACATTCTCAGCGCAGAGACGGATACTTCTTTTTTGATGCAGGAAAGCATACATCTGGTTTAGTGAAAACAGTTGAGTTGAGAAGATAAAAATAAAAGATACAAAAATAATAGGGAAGGCTAAAATACAGCAGTTTTATGATGTTTAAAGTTGGAATTTTAGCTATTTACAGACTATGGCTATCCATCTGACTCCGGTAATTTAGAGTATTGAAGGAACATTAACTTCCTGAGATTTATTCCAAGTACCTTCCAGTTTTTCCAAGAACGTGAGAAAGGTGATGAATGTGGAAAACGGCCTTACCCTGGCCGGTGCTCGGCTGGTTGGAGGACCTTCTCGGTAAACCAAGGTTGCTGGATCCCCGGTCAGGGCTCATGCAAGGGTCAACCAAAGATGCACAAATCGGTGGGGCAGCTGATTGATGTTTCTCTCACTCTCTCTCTAAAAATCAACAAATAAAAATTAAAAAAACAAAGAAAAAGAAAGAAAAGGGCCTTGGCTTTCTCATCTATATCAGTGCAGAACTGGACTCGGGGCTCAGGATTGAAGTGAGGATGGGAGTGGGGTCGTGGCACCTTCAGCAGCTGAAGTGCCATCAGTGTCAGCAGGCAGCCTCCTTAAATTAATGACAACAATGGAGACAACCAAAATACTTTTTTTTTTTTTTTTTTTTTTTAA